GGCTCTGCTTAAACATCTACCACGGCTGCGTACACTAAACCTCAGTTATAACCCTTTGGATGGCGAGGTAAATATGCAAATCCATTTTCAACCTCTATTTTCTTTTCTCTCTCTTCTCTCTCATGCCACCGTGATCACGCTGCGCAATTTGCTTTTAACTTTCAAAAAAGTCATGTCCATGAACCAAGTGTCTGAACTTGCTGTTCCTTTGATACTAAGCAGTATAACTTCGCAGCAGCTGGTTAGCAGTAGGGTAAAACTGGCCTGTTTCACGACGTTTGTTAAGTCTGGGCCCTTTTTACCAATTCACGGAACATTGATGCACAAACCTTTCGAAAGTCGTTAAGAGGGGGCATAAAAAGAGCTGATTACGAAGTCGTGGGTTAGCGCTAGGGCCCTCGGCTACGACTAGTGGTGGAGTTTAAGGTGCTCTAAGGTTCACTGTCTCAGAGACTAGTATCGCTATGTAGTAGTTTCAGCGTACAGTGTAACTTATCGTGGGCCAGAGTTGGAAGAATTGGGGTAAGGGTATGCTGAAACGTACTTTAGGGATCTTCAGCGAGGGGTGGAAGGCGTATTTGCCTTCGAGGGAAATGGAAAATGATCTCATAGTTGTTGATTTGTCTCGTTCTACGTGCTCACTGCCTAACGTGTTATGTCCCCTAACCCCTCCGCTCCATGGAAGTTTTTGAGGGAAAAATTGGAAGGTTTTGTTAGAAAATTTCACAAAAAAACGGCTGGTAGACAGGATGGGAAAGGGGAAGAGCCGTACCAGACCAGACTGGCGGGAGGGAGGGGGGGGGGAGGGGATCATACATTGCTAGACGTGTCAGCAGGGTAATAAGGCTAGTCGAAAGGGCAAGTTCCCGATCCCATTCCCCACTTTCCCATCGAAACGACAATTTCTCAGAAAGCCGAGACGAAACAGGTTTCAAAGGGCATACGTGCGAGAAAGGTGGTAGATTGTACTATGACTACACGTAAGTCGGCTTCTAGGGCTTCTTAACAAAGTATCCACTCATGCAAGGGTGCAGCACATCAAGCTGAGTGATGCCTAAGTTCATATAGGGGCCATAAACCCGAAGAGGTAGTGAAAGAACCATAGAGGTGAACCAGCTTGGCTAAGAGTACGTCTGTAATTTAATTCCGTTTCGTGTACCCTTTTCGTCTGTCATGTTTCTTTCTTCAGAATTTATGAGTTTGCCGGAACTCTCGCGTTTCTTTGAGGCGCCTGCATCCCATTGCTATTCATTGTGAATCATTTTTGAAAAAAAAACAGCCGGCAATATTTGACGAGGAAAAGTTGTTTGTTATGTTTCAGATTGCTGTGGATTTGCCGCCAGCTCCACTATTACACACATTGATTTTGAATGGGACAAATCTATCGCTCAACTCACTATCGTTAATATTGAAAAATACACCTTCATTACAAGAATTACATCTATCAGACAATCAACTCGATCTATCATTGGAGGATGACCCGTCACCAATGAATGAGACAGTGAAGACAATCCATTTAAACAGGTACTACTTCCATACCGGTTTGTTACGCACCCTACACATGTTCTTTCGTTTTCCGCTGTTTTTCCTTCCGCTAGTTTCCTGTTACACACATTTGAAAGCGCTCAAAGAAATCTCGTCCGGATTGCGGCTGTCATAAGACTGATGTCAACCTGATGTGAGATATTGAGCGCGAATTTTTGCAGTGTGTTGTTGCAGGTGTCGTATTGATGACTGGAATTTAATCGTTCGTTTGATGCATCGATTTCCCAGCCGTAAGACGGTATTTCTTTGTGAAAATCCGATTAAAAAAGTCGCTCATCAAACTTCTAACGATGAACTGACGACCCTGGAATCGTTGAATCTTGCCAAGGTAAATACGTAAGATTTCTGTTTGCTCATATCATGGTGAACGCTAGAAAAACAATTGCGAAGCGATTTATGAACAGTTCTCTAGCATAAATCAATAAAATCAGTCAAAGGTTGGAAACGGATACAGTCCTAGAAGTTTTGCTGAAAATTTGGCGTTTCTGTAGATCACTTGCTGATGATTTGGATAGACATAGTGAAGCAACAACTTTTGGAACCATTTATACTCCATATCCTGACTGTAGGGAGGGCTGACTGCGAACTTCATTTGAACATATCACCGAATGCGTTTTTTTAGTAGTTACCTTCAATTCGGAAGAATCCTATCTGTTGTTGGACAACGACATGACTGGACAACGACATGACTGCAATTGTCCCAAAATGAAAAGATTAGCCCTCCCAGGTTCAAATGAAGTAAGCGGACACGCCCATTCCATGTGCGGGATGTGGAGGGTACCGTGCCGGGTGGCGCTGGTATTTTTGGCGCAAGTGCCGATAGCCCACGTACCGGGCACTTTCACGCCAAATCATAGCTGATGGATATTATTGTGTTTAAAAGATAGAAATATCCCTAGGGATAGCTTTTTAAGAAGACCGATGTTTCGAGGTGTTTCAGCTCCGGGGCCTGTGCCGCAAGCGCCAAGCGGTTTTGGGCTGAAGCGGATGCGATATTCGTGTTCACGAGGTCAAAATACCCTAGTGCGCAAAGTTCCAGTAAAATCCACCCGGGAGAAGATTTTCCACCAAAATCTGGTCAGAATTCCGAAGAGTGCCGTAAAAGCAAACAGTATCTATCGTTGTTCCGATTTCCGAATTCCGTAACTATTCAGCATTCATCCAGCCGAAAATATTCCATAATTTCAATCAATAGTTTCGAGCGTCTCAACCACTGTCACACTTGCATGTGTTTATTCTTTTTGCATTTGATGATTTCTTCGCACTGTTGTTGAGCCCGTGATGATTTACCGATTTCCTGTTTCCGTCGCATTTTCTTTCGTCGCACTTCTTGGAGGTTCACTTTTTCGAAGATCCAGCTACTTACAATTTACGGTTCCAGGTTTCCTTCGGAGGTTCTTGGATGCAGAGCTGTAAATTATAACGCCCGGAAGGCTTTTTGATTTCGGGCAGGTTCTGAGAAAAATTTGGGTGAATTCGAAAATTCCAAGTACCATATGAAGATGACCTTCGCTTTATTTGGTTAGCATCCCACTCGGTACCACTACGGTGTCGCTTATCAGATGTCAGATGGTCTAAGAAGCGGAGTAAATAAGCCGAAAGGACAAATATGCTATTTCAGACGGAAATCTCCGATTGGGACAGTATTGATAATCTGGATCGATTGCCATCTTTAACGGATTTACGGGTACTTGCCATACCATTACTGGAATCGTTGTCTGAAGAGGAACGAACCCATCTGGTCATTGCACGAGTTCGTAATCTACGCGTACTAAATGGGTCAATCATTACACCCGAGCAACGGGAGCAATCGGAACGTTACTTCATTCGTTATTATCAGGTTCGTCTTTTGTTTGCACACGGGCTTGTCCAGATGGCCTTTGTCGGCGTCTTTTGACTACGGTCAGAAAGCCGCCTTGTCGTCATTCTTTACCCATTACAGGATCGAGACGATAAACCGCATCATTACAAGCGTCTCATCGAAAAACATGGCAAATGTGGAACGATTGGCCAAGGTGGACCTGACGCCGAAATCCACTGCTCGCGTGCAGGTTCTTTGTGAAGAGACCAACTATCAAGCAAAGCTTCGCATCAACCTCAACAAAAGCGTCGGACAACTGATGAAGTGAGTATTGGGGGATTCTCAGGCTGCGGTGGGAATTGTTCACGGAGTGGTTCTATGAGAGACCAGAGAGGGAGGGAACGCCAAGAAAAGCGAAAGGAGTGGTGCAGGATGCCGCGAACGGCCACAAACATGCATGCATTAATGAAGGGCACAAAGAAGTCCGTATAGCGCGACTCTTGTAAAAAATGCAGAGAGGGAATGTCGTACACAACCCGGGAAGAGGGGAGAATTAGGCGAATTCCGGCGACGGAGGGACATTTTGCGCTTTTGCTGCTTCCTGTTGCCCGTGTTCTGCTTTGCAAGACTGCTCCTTTACAAGAGTTGAGTTAGTTCCTACAAACTTTGAGTAGTATCACTCCACGGCTCCACCAGATTTCACAAATCTGCTTGCGGCCGGGCTGCTTGACACGACTAAACAAAGCAGCAAAAGTGCAAAATCCCCACCTCCCCCTCCCTTCCGTCGCCAAACTGCGCCA